TAAAGATGCTTGTGGGAGGCAAGATTGAAAGGTTCAGTGAGGCCAGTGGCCAGGGTCATGACATTACCAATGAGCCTTGGTAGCTGGGTGAGGGAGGGTTGGGGCTTGGTTCTGGGTCTGGGAGAAGGAGGCTTTGAATGTGGTTGGAGGGGAAGGGGAGATGGGATGATTATATCAAAGGGGAACTGGACTGGAATTCAGAACACTTGGATTTCATATTCTAGCATGACCAAATAGCTGTTAACTATGAATACATCATAGTCCTTCTTTGTGCCCTGTTTTCTGGATCTGTCCTGCCTCTGACCAGGGTTTTTGGGGGTGCAAGAGCAGATAGATGTGCTTGGAAAAGGCAGAGTCCCACAGCACTGTGAATGGCTAATAGATCAGTGTTTCTGATTTCTCTGCACCTTACAAGAACATCATGGTGCTCAGTAAATATAAAACAAAAACAGTAGTTTCAGGCTTACAGACACTAACCTGAAATATTCTCTACTAAAGTCAAGTGAGTTTCAAATAACCTTAAGGAGGAATGATTTCCCTTTCTGTAGCTCCCAGGATCAATTCAAAATAATAAAATTTGGGAGCCCAAGAATTAAAAATTGGGATGGATCTAAAGTATTTCATCTCAAATATCTCATTCTTCCAAAGAGGATGATCCAAATTACCCAATTCTGAATGAGACTAAAAAATTTACTTTGGGAAAGAGATTGGGTTCCTTTGCTGAACTTACATTCAGTGTTTTTGAAATGACTAAGAACAAGAAAGATAAAATATCCAAGCTTACCTCATGAATTAATTAATTAAGGAAACATACATTTCCATTACTCAAGATAAGTTAGCAAGCCTTGAAATGTAAACTTCTGAGAAATACCAGACTGTCCTATTTGGAAGGGACTTTTAAAGATGAATTTAGCCCAGCATACTCACTTTACAGATGAAGAAACTGAGCTCCAGAGAAGAGGCTAGTGTAAGACAAAAAGCTTACCTCCTCCTCTGATGAATGTAAGATACAAAGCTTACCTCCTCTTCTGATGAGTGAGGACAACTGGACATGACTACAATGTATCCCAACATGGCACCTGGCTGTTTGGGATGTGTGCATGGCTGATGTGATGGGATCTGTGGTTTTATTTTTCCCCAGCATCTCTTCCTTTGGGGGAACACTCCTCGCTTTCTCTTGAGTCTGTCAGTCATGGTGCTGTCCATCATGGGAAGGCACATGACACGGGCTGGCCAATAGTTGCAGAGATTGAGCTGGAGTGGGCATGTGATCAACCAGAATCCATCAAAATCCTCTCCTGGGCTTCTTTTCTTTTCTTTTCTTTTTTTTGACAGAATCTCACTCTGTCACCCAGGCTGGAGTGCAGTGGTGTGATCTCTGCTCATTGCAACCTCCACCTCCCAGGTTCAAGCGATTCTCATGCCTCAGCCTTCCAAATAGCTGGGATTACAGGTGCACACCACCACACCTGGCTAATTTTTGTATTTTTAGTAGAGATGGGATTCCACCATATAGGCCAGGCTGGTCTCAAATTCCTGACCTCAAGTAATCTGGTTGCCTCAGCCTCCCAAGGTGTTGGGATTACAGGCTGAGCCACTACATTCTGCCCTCTCCTAGTATTTTTATTTGGATGTTATATAAGTGCTTCCAACGCTGTGGGGGCCATGCAAACCTGTTCCTGTGGTTGCAAAGAGGAAGCTCTTTAAGTAGGAGAGAATGAGGTTATTTCAGAAGGAAGTAAACCCAAGATTAGAGAGAGAGATATATAAATACAGACATGCACACATGTGTACATAGAAACATAGATAAATAGCAAGAACCATCTCCTACACCTGCTTACTTTTTAGCTTGAGGAGTTTGAAGTTTCTGTTGCTTGCAAACAAAAAGATTGAGGTTAATATGGTGGAAATATGAAGTCCCTGTGATTTTGTTAATGATCTAAAGGAGATAAGTTCATGGTAGAAGGGAAAGAAGTGAGAAAAGCTAGGTTGTCCTCTGCCACTTTCCTGTAAATCTTTGATTAAACTCATTTTTCAGATAGAATGTTGGGCCACTTCCAACAAGTCACTGTTCCCTGGAAGCTCCACACTTTCTTCTGCCTTTGCAAATGCCATCCTCTGTGCGTGCTCTTGGGATTGCTTGCCCCTTTCCTTTTTTGTTTCATTTCTGGTTAACTCCTCTTCATCCTTCAAAGCATTGTGCAAATCATTCATTCATTCATTCATTCATTATTCATTCTTTTTTTAGCAAGAATTTATTGATTCAAAGGCTGTTCTAGGAGCTGGGGATATGACAAGGAAAATGACATTTATTTATTCATTCAACAGATCTCTTGAATGCCTGGTATGTACAAGAGGAGGGAATCCAGTGGCGAGTGAGCAAGACAAGGTCCCTACCCAGTGGGGGTTATTCTATTGGGAGATAAAAGAATAATTTAGGAGTGGGATGTGTATTTTGCAACTTATCTCAATTCTCCTCAATAGCTGTTTCTTGCATTTTTAAAGAAACTATGAGAAATGTAAGGAGAGAGACTGTGTCCTTCATCTCCTGTTTCCACAAGTGGCAGAGATCCAAGGAAAGGTGGCCTGGTTTGAGCCCAGCAGGGCTTCATTATTCATAGGGGATGCAGCCCAGTTTTGGCAGGGAGGAGGGGCTGCTTGTAGGAGGAGGGACTGGGCTTCCCAGAGGCCTGGTGGACTCCCCTCCAGCAGTGGGTGGGAAGAGGAATTTAATGAGCCTCTAAAGAAGACAATAAAGAAGATCCAAAGACCTGGCCATCTGGACTTCTGCTCTTAATGAGAAAGTAATCCTGTCTCCAGAAAACAGCTGGTTAAACTCAGAAGAGAAGCCATGTATGTTTAATTTCCATTGAAAGCTGTTTGATAGGCTCCATGGGCAAGGCTGTGACAGTCAGTGCCACTTAATGAGGTTGCCATGGGCTTCTCCAGCTCAGGGAGAGGGAAGTCAGGGGACCAGGGAGGTAGGATCAGGGCAGGGAAAATGCTGGAGGCCCTGGGAGGTGATTCCCTGGGTGCAGAGATGGGGCCAAGACTCCTGTGGTCAGGAGACCTATGGTGCCCTTAGAATCAGAGCTGAAGGGACTGTGGAGTTCATCTGGCCCAACCCCTTTATTAGATGAGAAAGCCGAGGCCCATAGAGGTTAGACAGCCTGATCAAGGTCAGACAGTAGGTGGTGACAAAGCCAGCAGTTAGCCCTGAATTCTCCTGACTCAGCAGGAAGCCAAGCCCCCTCAAGTAGGATACAGGAAACTTGGCTGCTACCCCACCATATATAGACATGTTTCAAGATTAGCGTCTGGTCCTCATTCTTTCTCTCTCCCTCCCAAGAAGAACTGAATGCCTGTATGTTCCAGGGATTGGGATAGGTGCTGACGACAGAGACTTCCAGGTATGGTTGCAGCCCTGAGGAGGTCACAGGCTTCAGGGGAGGAAGACATAATAACCACTAGGCAATGGCAGTTTGGTGTGGTCACGCAGGACACTTAATGACCTCTAAGTGCACAGAGCCCTCCTGGCTGTGCCTGGGAACTTCAGGGACCACCTTCTGGAAGACAGGATGCCTGTGCTGAGTCTTGAAGAATGAGAGGGAGTCCAGCATGGGGCAGGCTTTGAGCAGGCCAAGGAGATCCTGAGAATTTCATTTCAGACAAGTGACTGGTGATGGTGTGAAGGGTGAATCTAAGAGGAGCAGAGGCTGGCAGGGGAGACCTATGAGAAGGCAGTCATCTAAGGAAGAGATTATGAGGACATATGGTTGCAAGCGGTGGGCAGGAAGGAAAAGATGTAAGAATACATAAAAGGTAGCATAAGCAAACCTGCCAATTGGTGAAGAGGGGGAGTGAGGCAGAAGGAGGAGCCAGGCTGAGTCCTCAGGCTCTTCTTCCCCAGCCAGAGTCCTGATGGCTCCCTTCCGCAGCTCCAGGCTGCTGGCTGGCCATCTCCACGGACACAGCCTTCTGGCCTCTCAAACCCAAAGCTCCACTGGATTCTGCACAAAATCGTCTCCACCTCTTCATTTTCTGGTTTCAGTCAACGGTCCACTACTGTCCTTTCCTTCAAGTCCCATTTCCAGCTTTTTGCTCCCCTTGTCGCCAGGGCTACCCTGTCCTTACCTTGGCTGAGCAGAGGACACCTCTCAGAGCAGCCCAGTGCGCCTGGCTCTCCCAGAGGCTGAGTTTTAAATGTGCATTTAATCACTTCCCCAAGTGGCTGCTTTTTACTCTGAGCAGCTGATTTATCTAAAATTTAGTTCTAAGTCCAAAACACATTTACCAAAAATTCGCTATTTGCTGAGCCCTCAGAATCTAATGATGAACAGGAGGTCAGTTTCTGGCCTCCAGGAAATGCTCAGAATACAAGGAGATCCTTCTCCACTTCTCAACTGCAAGACCCTCAACTCCAGGTCGCTTTCTTCACCTGGCTTTGGTGCATAGAATGGCAAAAAAAAAAAAAAAAAAAAGAAATCTGATGTAAAAACAAAATAAATGAACAACACAAATCCCCTTTGTTTTTGCTTTTGTTTTTGTTTTTGTTTTGAGACAGAGTCTTACTCTGTTGCCCAGGCTGGAGTGCAGTGGTGCGATCTCGGCTCACTGCAAGCTCCGCCTCCTGGGCGCACGCCATTCTCCTGCCTCAGCCTCCTGAGTAGCTGGGACTACAGGTGCCCACTACCACACGCGGCTAATTTTTTTTTTTTTTAGTAGAGACGGGGTTTCACCGTGTTAGCCAGGATGGTCTTGATCTCCTGACTTGGTGATCCGCTCCCCTCAGCCTCCTAAAGTGCTGGGATTACAGGCATGAGCCACTGTGCCCAGTCAAGCCCCTTTGTTATAATGGGCCAGAGGTTAGAACAATTTAGGATCCAGTGATACGTCTGTCTGAGAGAAAAAAAAATTTGGCTTTTAGCTTTATTGTAGGTGCTTGATAAATGTTTGCAGAATAAATGAACATCGGGGCTAACACAGCATTCATTGCATAGGTCCTGTAAGACCTGCCTGAGAACAGGGCCAGGAGCCACCCCTTGGCATACTCTACGCCTGTCACTGGGCCCAGCAATCACAGAACTCAGGACATGGTGAGTGGGTAAGCTCTCAGTTCTTATGATCACATTCACACTTTGTAAAAATCAGTGGTATTTATTTGCCCTGGAAAATAGCTGGATATTTAAAGTAGGTCCCTGCATCCTGAAATCTTTAATTATTCAAATCAATTCAACATTTACTAAGTAAGCACAGTGCAGGTTGTTCAGAGACATGACAGAACCAGTTCTGAGCCCCTGAGAATAGCAGTCTAGGTGGTGGGGGGATGGGGGTACAGCATGTGGCAGAAGTGTGAGCTCTGGGCGTCAGGCCCGTGTTTCACCCCAGGTCGCCCCCCCCAGCCACTGCAGTTCGGGCAGGCTACTGACACTGTCAGAGCTTTGGGCTTTTGTCCCTGCCTATCTCACCTTAGTGTGTTGGGTGGACTGTAAGAGACTGTATCAGGGCTGGATCAGGGCTGTCATGACAAAATACCGCAGACCGAGGAACGTAAACAGATACTTATTTCCTCACACTTTTGGAGGGCAGAAGTCCAAGATCAAGGTGTTGGCAGGGTTGATTTCCTCTGAGGCCTCCTTCCTGGGGTTGCAGATGGCCACCTTCTCACTGTGTCTTCATATAGTCCTTCCCCCGTGCACCCCTGGTGTCTCTTTTTGTGCTCTAATTGTGCCTTCTAAGGACACCAGTCAGACTGGATTTTAACAATCTCATTTTATCTTAATCACCTCTTTAAAGGCCCTGATCTCCAAATACTGTTATATTCTAAGGTACTGGAGGTTAGGACTTCAACATATAAATTTTGGGGAACACAATTTTGCCCATAACAGAGACCAAATAAAATCAGTGTGCCACACCACACCATACTGTACCATACCATACTGTGGTACCATATCCTATTATACTAGATTGTACAAAATGCCTAGTATGATGTACCAGCCTGGTACATAGTAATTTGAATCTCTCTCCTCCTTCCCCTAGTGGGATAATAAAAGTTCACAGTAGGCCAGGTGTGATGGCTCATGCCTGTAATCCCAGCACTTTGGGAGGCCAAGGTGGGCAGATCACCTGAGGTCAGGAGTTCAAGACCAGCCTGGCCAACATGGTGAAACGCTGTCTCTACTAAAAATACAAAATTAGCCAGGCGTGGTGGTGGGTGCCTGTGATTCAAGCTACTCAGAAGGCTGAGGCATGAGAATCACTTGAACCTGGGAGATGGAGGTTGTAGTGAGCCAAAATCATGCCACTGCACACCATCCTGGGCAACAGAGTGAGACTCTGTCTACAAAAAGAAAAAAAAAAGTTAACAATGACAATATTTAGATAGAGGAAATGTAAAATTTGGCCCCTGTGGGTATAAATTGTCACTAAAATATGAATAAAGGTGATCCAAATTAATGAGTTTCCATTATCCAAGCTGTTTTGGAGATTCATATTTTTTGAAAGTTAGGTTTATTGAAGTATAAATATACATACCATATAATTCACCCTTTTAAAGTGTTCAATTTGTCCAAGGAGTTTTAACAGATGTGAATAGTCATGTAATGACCACACAATCAAGAGGGGCCTTCATGTTCTTTTGTGATTTCCTTCCCACTCTTGGCCTTTTGCAACATTGATCTGTTTTCTGTCTCTACAGTTTTGACTTTCCCACTGTGTCATATAAATGGAATTATATGGGACACAGTCATTTGTAATTAACTTCTTTCACTGAGCAAAATACTTTTGAGATTCATCCATGTTGCTGCATCTTGAGTTGGTTATCACTTACATGGATTTTTGTTATCAAGTAGTATTCCATTATATGGATATACCACAATTTGTTAAATCATCTGCTGGTTGATGAACATTTGAGTGGTTTCTACTTTTTGATGATTATGAACAGAGCTGTTATGAATATTAAAATACAAGTCTTTTTGGACATATGTTTTCCTTTGTCTTGGATAAATATCTAAGAATTGTGTTGCTGGTTGACTAAGGAAATGCTGAACTTTTTCACAAACTGCCAACTGTGTAGCATTTTTGCACCCGCCATTGGCAAAATATGCACGTTCCAATAGTTCCACACCCTTGCACTTGGTACTTTTAGTCTTTTTTAATGTTAGCCATTGTAGTGAGTGTGTAGTGGTATTTCACTGTGGTTTGGCTTGTATTTCCCCAAGGGCTAATGATGTGGGGTACACTTATCAAATATGTGCAAACATATATACACCTATGTCAGATATATGCTTTTCACATGTCTTATCACAGTCTGTAAAATTTTTCTCAACAGTGTCTTTGAAGAGCAGAAGTTTTAAATTTTGGCAAAGTCTAATTTGTTAATTTTACTTCTGTGATTCATGATTTTTGTCTGCTATCTAAACATCTTTACTTAATCCAAGGTCACAAAGGCTTTGTCTTCTATTTTTTCTTCCAAAAATTTAGACTTTAGTCTTTACACTTAGTAGTATGATCCATTTCAGGTTAATTTTTGTGTGTGGTTTGAGGTTAGCATCACGGTTAACTTTATACATATGAATGTCCAATTATACCAGTACAATTTTTTTAAAAGGCAATCCTTTCCCTCATTGAATTACTTAGACACTTTTGTCTAAAATCAGTTGGCCATATATGTGTGGACCTATTTCTGGATGCTATTCTGTTCCATTAATTTGTCTATACCGATTGTAACATCATACTTTCTTGATTGTTGTAGCTTTGTAGTAAGTCTTCAAATCAGGTAGTGCCAGTCTTCCAAATTTGCTCTTCTTTTTCAAAATTGTTCTTGCCATTCTAGTTCCTTTTCATTTCTCCATAAAGTCTAGAATCAGTTTGCCAATTCCTACACAAAACCAATCAGGATTTTTATTGGGATTACTTATTATCTACGAGGAAATTCAGTTTTTATAAATTAGATGAATGCCATTCCAAATTGTGGATAATGTTTGAAAACAAGCTTTTGGTATTTCAGTAAACTGGTTATTTTTAATTAGGTTGAATATTTACAAACCTATGATTGACATCTCCCCTTCTGATCCTAGGATGCAATTAAATAAAGAAAACCTCTGTGATTCTCTGGTGCTGACAACACCCTGGAATGCATCTACAGCTCCAGGGCCGCCATTTTGTCCTAAGAGGAAGCCAGCTTCCTCCCTCAGGTGAACTCTGTGTATGTTTGTGATGGTGAGGGAAAACCTAACAACCCAGACCCAGGAGAATCTGTCTGAGGCCCTCCCAAATACTCACCCTTCTCTCATTTGTCCAGAGCAAAGTTCATCCGGTTTATAAAAAGTGGTCTCCCTCAGCACAAGAACACCGCAGGCCCCCGGAGGAAAGTCTTCTGGGAAGAGGTTAAGGAGAGGCTGAGGAAAAGCCAGGACAGAGGCATGATATTCTGGAATCATTGCCACCACTAGTGCAGGGTCTTCTAGAGTAGGGGCCAGAATTGCCAGACAGCCAGCTCCCCTGGGGCTACTCTCAGAAAGCAGGCATTTCAGCAGCAGAATTGTTGCCTGTTTTCATACTGTGAATTGTTAGCGGGTTCTAAATAGACCATTCATGTTTTCCCTTTAGCACAGAAGGGGCTTACAACTCCAAATACCGCCATGGGTCTGACTGTTTCAAGTCAAAACATGTCCCAAACCACAGCCCTTGGGTGAGAGGAAGGGCTGGCCAAGGGCTTTGGAGGAAAAATAACCACCCACCAGCCTGGAAATTAGGGAGTTCACAGGAGGCCGAGTTGCCTTGCTCACAGACGCTGTAAGACTGAGGAGTTTTACCCATCGGGGTTAATCTGACAGTCACCTTCCCAACCAGTGCCTGCCTCCACCTCCCCTTTGCTCCCGGAAGGAAACCCAGGTCAAGAGGACGGAATGGTTACTCATGTCATGTGTGCTCAGCGGCTGCCCATCTCAGGGTCAGCGGTATGAACAGAGCACTCTGGAGGGGCAGGGTGAGGTTGCTTTGTGGGTAGTGGGATGCCACCTTCACTGTCCTTCAGTCCAATAAGACATGTAGCAAATGTAAATAAATCCAGTGACAACACATGAACAAGTCGTTGGCAAACGAAGTTCCTTTGACACAAAGCAGGAGGCTGCTGAGAGCAGTGGGAAGCCCTGGGCTGATGGGCCAGGATGGCATAGTAACTCACAGGAACAGGTCTCTCTGGAGTGGCCTGGGGAGAAGAGGGCAGAACTCATGACCAATAGAGACTATCTCCAGGTCATCTGGGTGATGAGTAGAAAAGCTCCAGAAGATAGCAGGAAGCTTGAGAAGGCAGCATAGGAGAAAGAAGAGGGAGGAAGGATCTCCACGTGGTAGTTGCTGGGAGGAAGGTCTGCCTGGGACCCAGGCTGGCCAGGGGTGGGGACTGGCTGCTTCTGCTCACAGTCTCGGCAGTGCTCATCCACTAGTGAGGGGTTGTTGGTGAGATTTGGTCCAGGAGGGACAAATATAGGACAGCTGTTTTGGTTGAACAAAGGAAGGCTAGGACATACTGGATGGGAGGTGGAGAAGGTGGCAGTGGTGATGCTGGCAAACGGTGTAACCAAAGTGTGATGATGATGGCATGGTAACCCAAGGCACATGTGTGAGTGGCACTGAATGGCTGTGTGCCTGGGGACCTGAGTTGGTATTATGGCTCCATCACTTCCTGCTGTGTGACCTTGGGGACGATATTCAACTTCTCTGAGGCTCAGTTTCCCCAGCCGTAAATGAGTGATCAGCACCCATTTATAAGGGATTGTCGGGATTATGTCAGAGAACATTTAGTCACTGCTCAATAAGCAGCAGAGACCGTAATGAGAATGGATCAACTGGGGACCCAGCAATGGTCTTGATGCCACATTTCACCTGAAGGATAAGGACTTTGCCACAGTTTGGTAGACTCGGCTTCTGCTAAGAAGACTGTCTCACTGGTAACTTGAGGGCAGGAACTCAGGGCTGAGCATGTTTCAATGTGGGAAGAGGCCTCAGTGTGCCCTGGGGTCTTCTTACGCATCCTGAGGACTCTACTTATTTCTATGTTGGAGGCTACTCAAGCTTTTCTTTTCCAATTACGTCTAAAGGGGGAAGGGGGAGACAGGTGTTTGAAGCCACCTCTGTGGCTTGTAGCAGGAGCCAGAGAGGGCCCAGGGCACCCGAATCCCACTGTATTGGCAGAAACACAAATACACAAATACCAGATGGATAATCTCAAGGATAAAAGAGGATTTAGGGTGACCTGATTTAAAGCTTCCCTTTTTTCTTTTTTGGGCAAAGCCTGGGAGTAGGGGCTGGGAACTCAAGACAGAGCCTTGTTAGAGTCTTGAATTTTCACTTGTAGAGTGATGGAGCTTTGGAAAGGGGTTTCTCCTTCATGTTTCCCTCCCATCACATGCCATCAAACCTGATCTTTAAATCTAAAACCCCATTTGTATTCCAGTCTGATCATGGGAGACTTGTTTGCCTGTGGGCCCCAGCTTGAGTTTGTGATTGACAGGAAATGTCCAGAGGAGTCTACAGCAGACACAAAAAGCCTCTGGGAAATCAGCCAGCACTCCTCCCAGCATCCCCACCCACTAGATGGGCCACCGGGGAGCAGGATGGTGGCAGATCAGTCTCTACAATGGCTTTTTATTGGATTTTCTCTGTTGGTTGTATTCCACGCTATCAGTCCCTGATAGGACAGCAATCCACGAGAACCTAGCGTCAAGTTGATGGCCAAGTGCCGAGCATACCAATGACCAGAACTCTGCAAACAATTGGAGCAAGTGCTTGAAATCCCAGCCATGAGCCTGGCCGCTCTACATGAGGTCATGCATATGTCTTAGGTAACATACCAGTTGGCAATTACCAAACTCACCAGGATGATTTTCTTTTACCAGGGCTCCAACCACTGCAGCCCCCATTATAGTAACAACCTCTGATCCTCCTTCCAAAGGCATCAGGTGTGTAAGTCCTGCTTTTCTGTTTATTCAGTGGAGGGGACCCTGCAGAGAGGACAAGCAGCTACTGTCCTCAGCCCCTTTAAGCCAGGGATCCCTCCTTCATACAAAGGCGTTCCTGGGGATTTGCTTTCCTTGCGGTTTGTCGGTCACGTCTTATAGGGAAGGGGCTCATTGCCTGGATGCCTGTTCTAGCCTGAATGTGCCTTCCACAGCCGGCGTGTTCTGAGGGATGGGGGGCAGTTGGTTCGGGAAAGGGTAGGACAGGAGCAGGTCTGGGCTGTTGCCTAAGGTTAGCTCAGAGGGATAAAACTCCTGCACAGTAAAGGAGTTCTCAGCAGAGGTTAGCAGGTCTCCTGTCAGGGTGGCTTCAAGAATTCTTTCTTCAGAATGGCTTGAGCAAAAGCATATCTGGGAGCCAGATGAACTTGAGGCCTTTCCCTAGCCTGAACTCTTGGTCTTGTAGGGGCTGGTTCACTCTCTTATCCCATTTCAACAAGAGGGACGCTCCTTCATGCATCACCGGGGAGTCCCTGCACAGAACCTACCCATTCGTGGCTGCCCATTCTCACCACCTTCTCTTGAAGGATTCTTTCGAGTTCCTTTCCTGGGCTCTTGAAGCCCCTTGGAGTACGTGTTTGCAAACCTGCACCCTACCATCCCCGAGATCTTCAGAGGCGGGCTTTAGTCTGTTCAGATTTGTTTGCCGGTGACCAACTCAGTGGCATGCAGGGTGGACAAGTGGTTCTTAAACCCTCCCTGTGGCTCAGTTGCCTGAGGTGAGATGATATTCACAATGCCAATGCCTGGCCCCATGCCCAGAGATTCTGACTCAACTGACCTGAGGTCTGGACATGGGCAGTCTAAGCTCCCCAGGTGATTCTATGTGCAGCCATGATGGACGCCCAAAGGAGACCATCAACGAATCAAAACGGTGACTCTGACCAAGTGACACCTCCTTTTTTAAAATTTCTCTTTCTGGTGGTGAGGAAGCAGATTCTCAACCTCTATTCATCCTTAGCATTTATCCATGGTTAATATCATTTGTTTGAGCCATACAACTCTTGGAGAACCAAGTTCTGGAGGGAGAAGCTATTGGCAGGAGTGTCTGGAACTGCACGGAAGAACTCACTAAGTCTTATAAAATCCCTGCCTGCAACAGGTTGCGTGCTCTCATTCTCCTCCAGCTCTACTCCGTGCCTGCCACGGTTTACTACACTGTAGATCCTGGCTCCCAAACTTGGTACTTGTCAGAATCCCCCACTCCAGTAGTTACAAATCAGACCTTTTGAGGGGTCAGATGTGAGAGGCGGGGTGTGTGTGTGTGTGTGTGTGTGTACATATATGTGTGTATTTAAAGCCCCCTCAGTGATTCTTCTTACACATTTGCAGAGTGGGAACTGCCGTCCCAGGTCATCTCAGCTGGTCAGTCCATGTTGCTCAAAACTCTGGGGTGTGCTCTCCCCTGAGGGACTCTGAGTCCTTGTGGAAAGAGTTGTGGCAAGTCCAAAAGGGCTGTGTGTGAGGGTCTGGCAGGTGGGGGGCATGCAGCCCTGGGGGGATCATCCATGTGGACAAGATGTTTTGTGCCAAATTGTGACACACCCAAGAAGACTGAATAGAGCCTCATCCAGGGTGAAGATGAGTGAGATCTGATCCGAAAGCAATTGTTGAGGTCCAGTCCCACATGCCGCACGCTAAAGCTGTGGGACTTCAGAGGAAGAGAGTCTGGGACTTTGGATTAGTAACATGATGTGAACGGATGAAGTTAAAGCTTTGTCTCCTTCTTCCCATGTCATCTACATAGGAAAACTAGAGACAAGGACATAGAAATAGGAGATGAAGCTGATTTGAAAAGCCACCAGAGCTCTGAGAGGAGTAGTACCCATTCTGTGTCACACCATCACCGTTCTCACCTGTGGCTGACTGCAGCACCTGAAGCTCGACCAGCTGCAGTCTGTCACCAACATGAAGTTGCTCCTAGAGCACTCTTTATTCCTTTAAAAATGATAAAATACTACAAGCACGAAGGACTATAGAGAATATTGTCCCTATGTCTCCATATTTGCTTCAGCTGATGTTTTAAAAGACTAGAACATTGTTAACCCTCACCTGTGCCATTTCCTGCCCTCTCCCTGCTCTTCAGAAATTGGTATTTATGTTTCCCATGAATGTTTTTATACTTTTACTACACATGTAAGTATCCACACATAATAGATGATATGGTTTTGCAAGCTTTCAAACTTTACATAAATGATGTCTTACTGTATCCTTTGCATGTTTTTCATTCACTGTTGTGTTTCTGAGGTTTATCGCTGTTGATACAAGATCAATTTCATTATTATCTATTCATTCTTTTTCTGATGGGTGCTAAGATTGTGTCCCATTTTTTACTGCTAGAAATCACGCTACAACATTATTTACAATGTATGTTCTGTAGCCATGTCCTTAAACACAGGTGTTCGACTCTGCGATCATCGCGGCCCTCAGACCTGCTCCTCGCCTGGACTAGGCTCTGCTCTGGGGTCACCCTTCCCCAGCATGCAACTTGACTCTTGAAGACCAAGTTTCACTTGAAGACCACGTCTTACACCAGAATTCTCCCTGGATCATCCTTGTCAGGGATTCCTACCCTACCTTGCCACCCACACCTGGCCCCTCCTAAAAGGAATGTTCTTTGGCAGGAACGAAGAGCATGTGCTCGGTTGTAGGGTGAGAAGACCTCATGTGAGTGGTCAGTTTTAACTGGACCTCAAAGGAGGCTGTTTCCAGAGGCAAGGAGAAATGGGCGAGTTTTCTTGGCGAAGGGGCAGCAAGAGCCAGCATAGGCAAAGGAACGTGGCAGTGTCAGGAGAGGACCAGGCAAAGAGCTGGCCAGCAGATGGAAGCTGAGTGCTGCTGGAGAGTAGGAGGCTGGATTAGTAACATGATGTGAACTGAGGAAGTTAAACATTTGTCTCCTCCACCAGATCACTGCATTTTAGCTCTGTAGAAGGAAGCGGCCTGGAGACCCTGAGGAGCAGAAACAGTGGCTCACTCCTGTGCTTCTGTGGTCTGTTTCCTCACTTTTCCCCTTCCGTCAAGTGTTGAGGCTCTGTGGAGTTCAGCTTCCTCTTCCCTCCATCACTCATATCCCACTTCCCATCACCGGCTTCCATGCAAGAGAACTCCAGGTTACTGGCCTCGGGCAGCAGTCCAGCTGTTACCAGTAAACCGGAAGCTGACGTCACTAACAAGAGTTCAGGGAGCACCAAGAGGCAGACCAGAGGTCTCCTAAGCTTGACTCCTCTTCGGCACGAGACTAAGGAAGCGCCCCAAGTGCCAGTCAGAGGTGTGGGAGACCAGCTTGTGTGTGTGTGAGAGAGACAGGGGAAGGCAGGTGGAGTTGGGGAGCTCTTTCAGCTTAGCTGGGCTTAGTGATTTCAAGTGAGCCTCTGCTGGGAGAAATGGGTTTGTTGTTACTGAAAGAACAAGTTTGGGTCTCAAGTTTTCTTTTGCCTTATTTGACAGCTCATAAAACTCCGCAGCAAATCGGAACTTCCAGCTCCACGGCTTGGAGGAAGAAGCCTAGGAATAGTTACCGACTCCTTCCCCTGTCCTTGGCTTGACCTCCCTCCCTCCCTCCTTCTCACCACACCATTTAGAAATCATGAAGACAATCTGTTCCCAAGAGCAAGGGTGGAGGGTGGAAGGCTGGCTGGGCTGATGGGACCAACGCTTGTCAGAAATGAACAGGCCCATGCGACAGTGAAGACAATGCAGAGGGAAAGAGCTTTTGGCTTCATGCTTTGACAAAGTGCCCTGAGACTGTATGTGCATGTGTGTATTTCTGTTCGGTAAATCCTGGAAGGCCAGTGCAGTGGGAGAATCCAGATGTTTTCAGCCTCCAAAATGTGCCAGGTAGTTATAGTTGACAGTGGAGTATGTGAGAAACTATACGGTACTGGCCTCATTCTTCATGCTGCCACTCTGGCCTTTGACTTTGGAGTGGGGAATTTCTTAAATTCACACATCCCTGACCCCTTTTGTGGGTGACCCAGGCCCTGGCATACACTGTGCAATTAACAAATGTCAGCTGAATGAGTAGAATGAATAAACAAAAAAGAGTCATTGTGTAACAGAAGGTTGTTTATTAAGCATTTCCTGTGGGAGCTCCTCAAGTCAAACTCATGAGAAAATGACTGTTTTTAGTAGGCTACAGAAGGTTAAGTGACTTGTCCAAGGTCTCATAGACAGGACTGTGTGTGTGCACATGGCGTGTGTGTGTGTGTGTGTGTGTGTGTCTGTGTGTGGTGGGGAGTATGCAGGAGAGAAGGTTCATGGCATTATTTTATGCATTGCCCATTCTTGCACCTTCATCAAGTCTGAATTTGTGAATTTGCTGAGGCTGATAGGACAGTGTGGGTTGTCGCTGGAAGTTGGAGGAGGTGACAACCAGGTTAGGGGCCTTCCATGTGGATGCCTGCTGTACCACATATCCTGTAAAACAGAACATTTACGAATGGTAAGAGAAGCCCTTATGTACACAAAATAGGGAGGGCAAAAGAGAGGAGGGACAAGGACACCAAAAGGGTCTTTTGCAGATATTTAGAATGGCCTCCTCCATGAGAAAGGAAAGAAGAAAGACATAAAAGAGAACAAAGCCAGGCCAACTCTTAAAAATTATTTAATAGAAAGTCCAATGTCAAAATGTAACAATAAACAAAAATACACATGTATAAATATGTATATATAATTAGACCTATACACTTTCTCAGACCCTTTTCAAAATGGAATAGAATCATCATTACATCTTGGTGGTCAAATCAAAAATAATATTCAAGCGACATGGGCCCACTTCTGCGTGGGGGGTAGTACTACTGGAGCACTTCGAGGGTTCAAAGAATTCCAATCAGGAGAGAGCTGGGGATATTGCCAGTGTCCTTTTCTGGAGACCCAGAGAGGGAAGGTGAACAATTGCATGGCTCTGTCCAGTGTACCTGACCTTTGCTTAGCACCTGCAGCCACTACTGTCTAGGGATAGCTCTCCTTTAGGGTTTTGAATTATTTACATTTATGTTGTTCGTGAGTGAGTTTTCTTGCCTCATCTCCCAGATTTGAAGTTCCTGGGGATTCTGCCTTAGGACTTTCTTATTCTGCAGGCCAAATGTTGCACAGTGGTTTGGGGTGCTATTCTGGCGTGCTGATTTGCATTAAAGCAAAGGTGTTCAAAGTGAGATGTGTACATACCAGGAGGTACCCAAGGTCTCCCTCAGGAGTTCAGAGAGAGAATGCCAGACCTCTGTTTATAATATTTTGTGTCTTATTCATTTAAAGTTTCTATGCTGTGTACTTTTTATAATGTGCCTAATATATTAGTACAAAAGTAAAGGGATATATGCTTTACATAAATTAATAAACATACAGAGAGAGTGCATCTCACAAAGATTTTGCTGACAGGCATGTGTAATTGAAACAGATGGGGGCCCACTGCTTTGCAGAATTCATGTGCAGGCAGAGTGGTTAGGGAGGCCACCTTCCGGGCTCCCACGCTCACCTGAGGAAGCCTCTGCAGGTGTTCAGAAGAGCAGTGCTCCAAGATACCTCCCAGACCTGATTGAGAGGTGATGCTTCGTAATCTTGATGCAAGATTTTCCTTGAATGTAAGGCCACGTTCCTAAATAAAATGCAAATACCCTTGGGAAGAGCAAATATGCAGCCATTAACAACCAGCATGGAGGCATTTTGATCCTTTCCTGGCAATGAGGTGGAGGTGAGTAGGAAGTGGGCCAGGGTAGAAAATGGGGAGAGGTGCCCTAAGGCAAACTTGGCTTATATTCCATGAACACATTGGCCCTAAGGGGACCTGCCAGGGCTCTAGTTTTTAAATGGGTGAATGTGAGGCCAAATGTTTGTTGGTTTCCAGCATCAGGATTACCGCTGGACAAACTCTAATCTAAACACCTGGGCCTGTGGAACATCTGAGTGGGAATTGCTAGCCACAGAATTACAGACTCCTCAGGGAAGAGCCAGAGGAAGATCTGGAAAAAGTGGCTGTTTGAGCTAACATCTTTCCGAGGGGCCAGAAAGCTGGTGTTGCTGTTGAGTATGCCAGGAGGGCAGCGGTGGGGGTTTTGCCAAAAAGGTCAGCCCCAAGGTGCAGCAAGGCCCAGCGTCCCTTAGCTAGGAAAATTGCCTTCAGCCCCAACTCCTCCAGCCTCTCAGGGGAACTGTCTTCTGTTTGAGCTTTTTCTTGAGTTTCTGTAAACAGTGTTGGCTTATAGCTGGTCTTTTGATACGTCTAATTCTTTTCCTTTCTCCTAAACATTTTTCTAATTATTTTTCTGGGGTGGGGAGGGGGAGAAAAAAAACCCAATGCTCTAAACTCTGAGGTTATTTGGAAAACCTAAAAGGCACTGCAAGTTGTCTCCATAGAGAGATTCCGCTTGTCTCTGAGCCTTCCCTGACTCACATCTGCAGAGCTCCCAGCTCTGGCAGCCTCCAGGTGCCTGCGAGGTCTTCCCTCCACAGCTGTCTAGGCCTATGGGTATTTTCCACTTGCATACAATTTGTCTGTGCTTTTTAAAAGTCTCCTTTCTTTGGCAGGACTCGGGTGTGTATTTGGGACCCAGCAGAGGCTTGGCCACCGGGTGTATGTGACCTAATCCAGGGGAAGGCTGTTCAAGAGAGCTGCCTTTAGTTAGGATCACACACTAGACAGGGAAGCCCTCTGCTGCTTCCCGTATATTTATTTTAGGGTGCATTCTCATCCCTGGGTCTAGGCCAGCCTGGTCCCAAAAGGTATTTTTAGCCTTGGTGGCTCTAAAGAAGGTCATGCTGACCCAGAGCTGTCCCCTTTATGTCTCCAAACCAGATCCAGCCCAGGTTAAAGTCCTTGAATTCGAATAGCTTTTGGCAGAGGAAGAGGAGTTGGGGCTGGGTAAGGGACAGAGGACACCCTGGGATAAATCATCTCAGCAAGCACCCGTGCACTGCCGCGGTGAGGAGGGAAAGCCGGGCCCTGATTGTGACCACACCTTACCTGTCTGGAGGACCTCAGCAGTGGGCTGCAGACGACACAGCACCACCTAAAGCTCTTATTTATGCTCCCTGAATCCCCGGCAAAGCCCCAGGAACCCTCTGTGGCTGGCCCGGCTCACTGTCCTGTCCTTGTCTCTTGCTCTTCTCTCTCCCTCTCCAAGTCCAAGCCCCAGCCTCTGTACTGCAGGCTGGCCCCAGACAGTCCACACCGGCCCTCCTTTGGGCTGAGTCCTGTGCTGTCCTCTCAGCCTGAAGTCCTCTAGTAACACTCTCCCTCAGCCCTCTGACACATCTGGGCTTTGATATCACCTCTTTCAGGAAGCCCCTGATTACCAGAACTGGGCTGGCTGCCACCGTGAGATGCTCCCACAGCACTCAGGACTTTTCCCTGTAGGGTACTTCCGCACTGCCTCCCTCGCTATGGCTAGGTTCCTCGAGGGTGGGTTTAGTTCAATTGTGCTTTGCTTGCAATTAGCACAGTGCCTGGAGTGTACCAGGGGCTCCAGAAATAAATGAGTTCAGTGAATGAATCCTTAAGACTGGAAAGGCAATGCTAAAAATGCTACACCTGGGTCAACCCAGATGAAGGACCCCAACTCCACACACTGGGGTTAGAGCATCCCAGTGGAGCTGCTGAAATGCCACAGTCAAGTCCACATGGATGAGGGGGATGGTGTGTGAGGCATGCGGTGGTTGTATGTGGCTGGACCAGGCACACGACATTAGGGATGTGTCCATTATGCGTGTAAGGCTGGGAAAGGATGTCAGCCACAATACCCCAGCTGGCGGCCCAGACGAGTCAAGCAGATGTAGTAGGGCATCCGGGCACAGACAGGGCACAAAGTGAGACGAGTAGCAGACCTCGATTCTCCCATGTGAGTTGAACTCAAACTTTCTCAAGAGTGATGGCTGGTTTTTCCTGTTTCGGTATCCCTATAGTTATACTAATACTTTCCTAGACATTATCTTGGAGATTACAGAAAGGCAAAATACAGCTCTTTCTTGAACTATTTCAATGATAAATTTCCTTTCTCCATGTATCTCTCTGTATATGTATGTATGCGTGTGTATGTGTATGTGTGTTAAGAAAATGGATCAGAATCTAAAATCCTAGTAAGGCAGCTGCCTGGATCTATTCCAGGAAAAGAATAATTTTATGAATTTGCATCTTGGTTTGAATGGAAAAACTGGCTTGAAATCTATTGCAAAATTTTCTTTGCTAGCTCGCCTGTCAAGAGAGAACAGTCCCTGAAGGTCTGGACTGAAATGCCAGGACACAGGGCCTATTCTCTCCCTTTGGAGTCCATGCCAAGAGGTCCCCCTAAGGCTCTAGAATTATTTTCAACCCTAGAGACCCTAAGGGATCTCTGCCTGAGTTCATGGTGTTCTTTATACTGCCTCTAAGTCTTAATCAAATTCAAAGCCTTGGGCTAAAGATGGAAGCAAAGAAGGGCGAAATCAGGGTAGAGAGGGCAGACACTATCAGAATGGAGCCTTCAGTTTAGAGGTGAATCTTCCCGAAATAGAGCAATTTCTGTGGTTCCCAAGTTATAAGGGCCATTGCCCACATCATGATGAAGGGACATGACAGCTGCCAGGTTAGAAAGAAGCAGGATCTTGGGGGCCACATTTCAAAGGAAAACTGGACATGACAGCCCCTTTACACAGGGACATTCTTTTGCTTCCTTCGAACAAAGTAAGTAAGGGTGGGAGTAGGTCCCTTCTAGGCAGCACCTTTAACAGTTGCTATGGAGACATGAGTCATCTTTAGAGGATGTGATTTAAGAAGCAAGAAGAGGAACTCTGAGGAGTTCCTGGGCTCTTCCGACCTTGGAACAAGTTATTTAAATGTCTATCCAAGTCATTACACGACTATCTAAAACACGTAAGGTGTCAAAAGAGATTCGCATCTAGTTTCAGTGCTTAAATGGACCTGGAACATACAGATCCCCGGTCCAAAGATCAAAAAGAGACATCAAACCCTAGCCCACAAGAAAGGATTTCAATACAAGTCAGTGGTCCAGCATTGCCTTTCCTTCATGCTTGGAGATCAGATTGTCCCAGACCCCCAGGCAGGTTAAGACTTTTAACCTTAAAA